TGGGGGGTAAAGATGGTATCTGCTCTAATTTTCCAAGATAATCCATTCAATCAATAGAGCTCACCACCACCACCACACAGCTAATTGTTATTTTAATCATAAGTTTTATTCCATACTGCAATCAAATCTAATTTTGTATCTTTAAAATTTTGCATCTGGAGAGGGTTGCCAAATCATTAATAAAGAAACTCAAAATAAACAGGAAAATAGAGGCTCCCCTCTCCATCATCCACTGTCCACACCAAATGAAATCATTTTCTCAGTTTTAAAACTCAGATCAATGCAGCTGGGTAATTTCGCAGTTCGGATGACAACATCTCTCAGAGCGCACCTGACTTTAAACCCAATTAAAAACCCAATTAACAGGAAAACCTATGCTTCTTAATGGCAGCGTAGGAGAGTTTTTAGCAGGCAAAGTGCTTTTACACTCGGCACCTCCCTGCCATTCCATGCCAGAGTGAGAGTGAGAGCCAGGTACTGAGACAAGGTAAAAAAAGGTAAAGGACCCCTGGATGGCTAAGTCCAAACAAAAGCGATTATGGGGTGTGGCACTCATCTCGCTTTCAGGCCGAGGGAGCCAGTGTTTGTCCACAGAGAGCTTTCCGGGTCATGTGGCCAGCATGACTAAACCACTTCTGGTGCAACAGAACACCGTTACGGAAACCAGAGCGCATGGAAACGCTGTTTACATTCCTGCCGGAGCGGTACCTATTTATCTACTTGCACTGGTGTGCTTTCGATCTGCTAGATAGGCAGGAGCTGGGACAGAGCAACAGGAGCTCACCCCATTATGCGGATTCGAACTGCCAGCCTTCTGATCGGCAGGTCCAAGAGGCTCAGTGGTTTAGACCACAGTGAAGCCTATTCCTCCCTTTCCTGAGAGGAATTTCCAATAATGATTTATCCTCTATCATTCCTGTTTTTCTCTGCCTTCGATCCCCTCAATGTCATGGGAACTGCCTCCATTAAGGCAGATAGGAACCTGTAACCAAGAACTTTGGTTGTACTGTTAGTTCATGTTTATTTACTCTAACCTTTTCTGGAAATATTCATCAAGGGATTGTGCAGCACCAATGACCGCTCCCCACATCAAATGGGGGGCGCCTTTTGATTGGTTGCATGCAGCCCCCCCGAATCCCAATGTGACTCCTGGTAGTTCGGGCTGGCTTCATCCTTCCCAGGCTGGATACCTGTCTCTACCTACCTCAGCCAATCGCCCAATCCTGCCTGGGGAGGCTTTGCCAGGGGATTGGCCAGGTAAGGGGAGGGACCATCCTGCCCACACAACAGAAGGTGAATCTTACCTGCGAAGTGGCAGTCGGCATGAGTTACAAAGAAAGCTATTCCCCCAGATTAGTATTGTCTACAGTATTGCTTACTTCTTCACACAGCGCATAGTGGATTAGACAAATTCATGGAGGAGAGGGCCACAGATCTATGAGAACTTTCCCTCCCTCCAAAAAATTCCATAATCACATCCGACAATACATTATTCAATCAATGCTGAAATAATTCACTCTTGTGGGAAAAAACAGCAAAAGTATTTTCTGTCATTAACTATGCGCTTGAGTAGCTATGATCGTAATGCAACCTACAGGTTGTGCAATATGAAACATGAAACCATGATGAGGAAGTACAGTCACTTTGAGTCTGTTCATATGGTATTGGATGCCTCCATTTTCTGTGGGCTTGTGGTCATCACAATATCAGCTGAAGTGAGTATTCCAGGTACATGTTAATTAATAGGGATGCTGCAGAATTTCTCCCAAAACAGTCTCAGCAAAGTTTTTCAGGGACATGTTAATACCCACCAAAAAGCAGGGGTAAGTTTTTAAACACACTGAATTCTTTCCCAGTTCAGAAATTCAAGCTGCAGAAGAATTTAGGTAGCAAAATGTCAAATACAATTCAATGTAAACAACTGTAAAGTGATGCACATTGGAGCAAAAATAATAGGAATCACATATACACTAATGGTTCTGAACTGATAGTGACTGACTGACCAGGAACTGCCAATATTATAATGTTGTTATAGAAAGCTACAATGCAATCACATTTTAAATATTCTGTACAGTTCTGGTAAGGAACACGGGTGGCGCTGTGGGTTAAACCACAGAGCCTAGGACTTGCCGATCAGAAGGTCAGCGGTTTGAATCCCCGCGACAGGGTGAGCTCCCGTTGCTCAGTCCCTGCTCCTGCTAACCTAGCAGTTCGAAAGCACATCAAAAGTGCAAGTAGATAAATAGGTACACTCTGGCAGGAAGGTAAATGGCGTTTCCATGCGCTGCTCTGGTTTCGCCAGAAGCAGCTTAGTCATGCTAGCCACATGCCCCATAAGCTGTATGCTGGCTCCCTTGGCCAGTAAAGCAAGATGAGCGCCGCAACCCCAGAGTCGGCCACGACTGGACCTAATGGTCAGGGGTCCCTTTACCTTTACAGTTCTGGTAATCTCACCTCAATAAAGAATCTGGAAGAGATTCAGAAAAAGGCAACCAAAACAATCAGGGGGAGTGAAACAACTCCCAAGTGAGAAAAAGTGGCAACATTTGGGGGTTTTCAGTCTGAAAAGGTGAAGCATCTGGGCAGTATCATATTTCTAAGATCTGGTCTAACCTTGCTCTTCTCACTGGCCATATCCATCGAAGCAGCAAGAGTTTCACAAGGGTTCTTATTAGGCTGGATTTTGCTGGAAAATAATATTCCTGGGTTGATGTGGTTCACTTTTAGCTTGTGACTTTGCCCCTGAACTCTCGCTTCCATCTTGACTGGGCCCCAGCACAGGCCTGATGCTCAGTTCCTAGCTCCGCTCTGCCAATTGTATAAACGTTTGTGTACAAAAGGCCACAAGAAGCCTTAGTGAAACTAACATGCTTTCTCTCTACCACCACAAGTACAGATAGAGGTGAAAATGACAAGAAGTTCAAACCCACTGCAATATTCATCTCCAGAGTGAAATGGTATCTCTGATTCACTGCAGAGATAGAGGGCAGGGGAGAGAAGCCTAATCAAGATGTGAGACCTCACCACAGAACAGAAAAGATGAAATTGGCAAGCTTCAGCAGTTGGAAGACGTGAGATGGGGAGCTGTTTCCATTCCCTCGTAGCCAGTCTCCCAGCAGTACACATACCATGGGTGGGTGAGGCCTCAGCCAAAAGTGGACAAGGCAATTGATGTGACTCTTAGTACAGTACTCTATTTTTCAGCCATGCAAAATCCAGATGTTTTTACAGCTTCCGCCTATGCTTCTCCATTTCCTGTCCAGACAAACAAGAGACATTTGCACAGTTGGAGGACACATTGCAGTCAGGCAACAACACTCCATGTGAGCATGGAGCAGGGCCAGTGAACGGGATGATCAGTAGAGAGGGGACAGCATGGCCCACCTTTCAGTGTGATATTAAGGTAGGGAGACAGCAGCAGAAATGAGAGTGCTTTTATCTATAAATACATGCTTGTATATTTTGTAGGTATGGCTGATCTTTTTTTCTTTTGCATTGTGGATCTGCTAATAGTTATTATGAGCCCTGTATGTTGTTATTGTTTGTAGTTTATACTGATGTTTTAAGAGGGTATCTTATCTCAGGCATAGTCAACATGGTGCACTCTAGATGTTGGACTATAGAATCATAGAATTATAGAGTTGGAAGGGACCATGAGGATCATCTAGTCTAAGCACCTGCAATGCAGGAATCTTTTGCCCAATGTGGAGCTGAAGCCCATGTCCTGAGATTAAAAGTCCCATAACTCCCTCCACCTCTGCCTGCTGGTCATGCTGTCATGGGTTGATGGGCGTTAGAGCCTGAAAGCATCTTGAGACCACAACATTGGCTACGCCTGTCTTCTCCAATTGACCAGTGCTACTCTAAACCGTAGTGGCCCTTTTGAACCTGTATACGGAAATAGAATGAGATTCAGAAAGTAAAAAATTTATTTCTCATCTCCAGGGCTGTACTGAAAGAACTTCAATTTTAATAATCTAGATTGCAGGTATTCAAGGCTTTGATAAATTGGTCTTCTCACAAATGAAACATATTTAAAGGGCAGAGGTCAAATGACCTTTTAAAAAATATGTGGCATGATTTTATTTCTCATACAAATACAGTGGTACCTCGGGTTAAGAACTTAATTCGTTCTGGAGGTCCATTCTTAACCTGAAACTGTTCTTAACCTGAGGTACCACTTTAGCCAATGGGGCCTCCCACTGCTGCCACGGCGTGATTTCTGTTCTCATCCTGAAGCAAAGTTCTTAACCCGAGGTACTATTTCTGGGTTAGCAGAGTCTGTAACCTGAAGTGTCTGTAACCTGAAGCATCTGTAACCCGAGGTACCACTGTATTGAGGCACATGATCACTCAGTGCCATCACATATGCAAATGCCTGGCTCATTTAAGGCTATATAGAGCATTTATTCTCAATAATGATGGAATTCATAGATGGAAAATACTTTTATTTTTACAAAACTTTATTATTTGTAAAGGAAATCTTTGTATGAATTAATGTATTATTATTCCTTTGGAGTTGTGCTGTATCTTTGTACTTCTGTGATGCCTTATGATTTAAATTTTTGATTCTTTGTTTTCTTTTTGTTGTGTTTGCGCTTTTATTTCTTTTATTTTTAATTTTCTGATATCTTGATGCTGTAAACTGCTCAGAGATTTCTTTATAATATGGAGCAGTATATGTGTGACTTAAATAAATAAATAATGAACAAATGTGCTTGGGATGTCTCTAGATACCCAGAAAAAAAACTGTGAATATTTGATACCATGGAGTGGAACAGTGTAGAAAGAAAGGAGCATGTTTTCCATTGCATTTATGTTGAGGCTGTACACTTGTTTCTATATATATATATATATCTGAATCAGCAGCTCTGGGAATTCAGATCTCCAAAGCGGAAATCACTCAGTGTAGCTGCATCATCACATGAAGAAAGGAAACAAGTCTGCAATTTGTGAAAGAGGAAGTCACCAAAATTGGGAGTGATTTATTTTACCAAAATGTGACAATGGGGTTGTACAAATCTACTGAGAGAGGGGAATGAGCCGTGTTTTGTTGCTACTCACTATTCAGTGTGAGGCACTACAAATGGGCTCACACAAGCACTGTCCTAGTGGAAGTCTGTTTTGGGACAAAGCCTTCTCTTTGTTGAGATCATAGTCGACTCACCTCCCGCCTCCAGATCTCCTCTCCTTTTTTTTCTTCATACGGCAAGTGATGAATCTATTTTTTCCAGATCACATGAGCCAAAATGTGGGGGAATCCTCTAAGGAGCAGAGACTTGTTTGAAGGTGATCAGAAAGAGGTATGGAGTGAAAGACTTGAGGACTTCATAAGGGGATGAACTCTCAGGCAGAACGGAAAGCTTTCATGCAAGTGAATTGTCCTCAGGAAGCTACCAGAGATATGACTGAAGAAAGTGTCACCAGGAAGTTCAGTGCCCCAATCCAAACATACTTCTGTTTCGCCATCATTTCTCTCACAATCTGCCTTCTTGCATCTTTGGGAACCATTGTGGTCTTGGTACTTCAAAGGACGGTAAGTTGCTTCCTGCTTCTGCCCTAGGGCTCTCTTAACTCCTGTTATCCAGATAAAATGTTGAGTTTCAGCTTTCACGGCACACCTTTTGCAATTATTCAGGCTTTGGCTTCAACTGATCCATGAAAGCCAACTCCACTGTACAATGCCAGTCAATTGCATTGCAGAGAGTAGGTGACTGGATATGAAATACAGGCTGAGATCTTTACTGCTTGAAATGTCACAAAATTCCTACAAGCAGACTCAACGTGTTGATTTCAAGCTCTTGGAATAAGGACATTTGTTTTGCTGATGGTATTCTGTAAAACATGGGTAGGTAAAATGTTGACATCCAGATATTGTTGGACTCCAATTCTCATTAGAAATGTGGTCAATATTCAAGCATGTTTTAAGCCAAGAACTATTTCACAAATACAGAGAACAGCAAAATTTAAAGCGCTATTACATTTTGTTTTATGTATTAGTCTAGAAGGCGAGAAATAGGTTGGTTTGCTCAATTTAAATTCTCCTCCATCCCTAATTGGAAACTGTCTTATATGTGGTCATATTTTACTCCTTGGAGACTAAGGCAGAGACAGGTCTTTCCTATCACATGCTGAGGTCCTTTAACTGGGAAATGACTGAAACTGATTCTAGGACCTTCTGCATGCAAACACTGTGCTCTAGCACTGAGCTATGGTCCTGATCTACCTAGTGAATGCTTATTTAAGAAAAGAAAATATTTGATAGACTAAAAAGGCGCCCCATATAATTGTGCACATATGTATGTACACACATATTGGATCCAACTAAATTATACACACACTAGACCCATTGAAATTAATAAACCTAAGCCAGAGATATTCATTCATTTCAATGGGTCTACTCTAAGCAGAACAAACACTGAATTCATAAAATCATATAACGGTAGAGTTGGAGTGACCCTTAGGGTCATTCAGTCCAACCCCCAGCAAGACAAGAATCTCAGTAAGGATAGCAATAAGGATTCAAAACAGAGAATGGGGAGAAGGGTTAGAAAAGAAATGGCAGAAGCAATAACTTTAAGGAGATCCAATATCCTTACTTGGATACTTTCCCCTCCAAAAAGTATGGCCCATTAGTAGATGATTTTGGGATACTCTCCCTCATGTTCTGAGCTCCTGGGGAGTCTCCAGAGGAAGCTCTCTCACAACCCTTGATTAGTCATTATTAATTTGTGGGTTTCTTTTTACATAAAAGTCTCAAGAAAATTCATAGAAATATAAGAAGATCATAGTTTTAAAGGCAGTACAAAGCACATACTGAAAACATGACTTAAAACAGTTCAAAATGAACCCCTAAGGCACAATTTTTTTATCCATTGAGCGGTTGAAATGTCTTCAGGTATTCTTGTTATTATTTTTATGTGTTTAATGGCTGCTCACAATAAATTGAACTGATTGCTGAGTAAAACACAGTCATGACAGACTATTTGCTATGCAATATTAACTTGTTTTATTTCTTTTCCCTGGCAATGAGGCAGTTGAATGCTACTTTTGATTCTTTCTTTTGTCATCCTTTTCTTTGTATATTGTTTAAAACCATATAGAAATAAATAGTAGTAGTAGTAGTAGTAATAATAATTTGGGAATGGAAAGAACCAAAGAACCAAATGTTTGGGGAGTGAGATAAGATGAATAGTGGTGGAAATAGCCATGATAATCTCATGAGAAACTGAGTTTGAGGTGGGGGGGCATGTCACTCAAGGGCAGTGGTATGTATTAGAAGGAATGGAACCTACTTTGTAAAGTTGTGCCAACAGAGATGGAGGGTTAGATTCCATTCCCATTAAAAGGCAAATCAACCTGCTTTGCAGTTTCTGAAACAGTATGCAAACCAAAACAGAGCCATTCTATGAAATGAGTACTTCTCCAAAATTTTGCAGGTCATAAATTAACATTATAGATGTGATTGGTTTCCAGGATTATTATTATTTCAATAGGAAACAAGGTCTTAATAGCATTGAATTTAGGAAATTGTTTCTTAATGTTACTGCATAGAAAAATTATCAGTAAGAGTTAAGAGGGGAGGGAGAAACCTGACTGTCTAAGCTAAATTTCACAAGCAAAATTCTGAAAAGGTTTGAAATCCAAAGTCTCAAGGGCATAGGAGCCAACTCCTGGGGGCTGAGGGGGCTTTGGCCCCCCTAATAAAATATTTGAGGGGGCTGGGGGCCCCCAAAGTTGACGAGCATTGCCATTCAAATGGTGTGTGTGCATTGCATCATGTGATCGATTATGTGGGGCAGGGCTTACCTGAGTCTTCCCAATGGGATTACATAGGCATGTAATATGAGGATCTCATAATACTAGAATTTGAGGCTATTCATCCAACGAAGCTGAATGTCAGAAGATTCAGAACAGACAAATTATTTCTCCCTGCAGTACATAGTTAAAGCTATGAAGTTCACTCCCACAAGTTATACTGGTGGCCTCCAACTTGGGTGATTTTAAAAGAGGATTAGATAAGTTCATGGAAGATAAAACCATCAAGGATACTAGCTACGATGGCTGTACTTTGCCTTCATGGTCAGAGGTAGCATGCCTCTGAATACCAGTTGCTGGGACTCATAAGCGCGGACAGTGCTGCTGTTGCACTCAGGTCCACAGTTTGTGTGCTATCCATGGGCATCTGGTTTGCCACCTTGCAAACAGGGTGCTGGATCAGATGGGCTAGATCAAGCAGGACTACTCCAAAGTTCTTATAAAGGGAAGTTCCTAGTACAGATAATTCAACAGTCAGTCTGTGAGCATTTATAAAAGGATTCTGTGGTTACTAAGACCCAGCATGAGATTCCTAACATTTTTTTGGGGGGGGGGGGATTACAAACTTGGTGGATCAGGGAAATGCTGTGGATATAGTACCGTATTTTTCGCTCTATAGGGCGCACCGGACCATAGGGCGCACCTAGTTTTTAGGGGGGGAAATAAAGAAAAAAAATTATTCCCCCCCCCCAGCCCCAAAGAGCAAAGAAGCCAAGACAGCCAGCGGGATCCATCCTGCTGGCTGTCTTGGCTTCCTCTTTAGCCGCGCGCAACCTCTCCAGCCGGGAGAGGCTGTGTGCAGCTTTGGCAGAAGCCAAGACAGCAAGCGGGATGGATCCCGCTCGCTATCTTGGCTTCGTTTCTAGCCGCGGGGCTGGGGTGGGGAAAGCCCGAGCTTCCCCCGGCCCCAGCCCCCAGAACAGGTCCAGGAACGGCGGCAAGGTTGCGAAGCCTTTGGAGCGCAGCGCGAGTTCCCCGGCTTCAGCAAAAGGAACCCAAAGCCTTCGGAGCACAGCGCGAGTTCCCACTGCGCTCCAAAGACTTCAGGCAGCTATCCCTGAAGCGTGGAGAGCGAGAGCACCGACCCCTCTCACTCTCCATTCGCTCCATAGGATGCACACACATTTCCCCTTCATTTTTGGAGGGGAAAAAGTGCGTCCTATAGAGCGAAAAATAAGGTATATCTTGATTTCAGTGAGGCTTTTGACAAAGTCCTCCATGATTTTCTCTCGAAGAAGCTGCTAAAATGTGGGTTGAATGAGGTAACTGTTAGGTGGATTTGTAGCTGGTTGACTGACCAAACCCAAAGAGTACTCATTAATGGTTCCTCAACATCCTGGAAAAAAAGTGACAAGTGGGGTGCCGCAGGGTTCTGTCCTGGGTCCGTTGTTGTTCAACATCTTTATAAATGATTTGGATGAAGGAATTGAGGGGAAGCTCATCAAATTTGCAGATGACTCCAAACTGGGAGGGGTAGCTAATGCCAGAGAAGGCAGAATCAGAATTCAAAATGACCTTAATGGATTAGAGAACAGGGCGCAAGCTAACAAAATGAATTATAATAAGGACAAATGTAAGGTTCTGCACTTAGGCAGGAAGAACCAGATGCACAAATATAGGATGGGGGACATCTGGCTTATTAGTAATACATGTGAAAAGGATCTAGGGGTCTTGGTGGACCACAAACTTAACATGAGTCAACAGTGTGATGCAGCAGCAAAAAAAGCCTAGGCTACTCTAGGCTGAATCAACAGAAGTATCAAGGGAAGTCATAGTACCGTTCTATTCTGCCTTGGTTAGACCACACCTGGAATATTTTGTCCAGTTCCGGGCACCACAATTTAAGAAGGATGTTGACAAGCTGGAATGTGTGCAGAGGAGGGCAATCAAGATGATCAAGAGTCTGGAAACTAAGTCTTATGAGAAATGCTTGAAGGAGCTGGGTATTTTTAGCCTGGAAAAGAGGAGACTAAGAGGAGATATGATAGCCATCTTCAGATATCTTAAGGGTTGTCACATGGAAGAGGGAGCTTCCTTGTTTTCTCCTGCCCTTGAGGGTAGGATTCGAGGTAATGGCTTCAAGCTCCAAGAAAGGAGATTCCAACTAAGCTTTCAGAAAAACTTTATGATAGGAAGAACTGTTCAGCAGTGGAACAGACTGCCACAAGAGGTGGTGAACTCTGCTTCCTTGGAGGTTGGATGGCCATCTGTCATGGATGCCTTAGCTGAGATTCCTGCATTGCAGGGGGTTGGACTAGATGACCCTTGGGTAACTTCCAGTTCTAAGATTCTATGATTCTATGGTTTTAAGTCTGGAAGATTCAGGACAGACAAAAAAAAGTACTTCTTCACACAGCACCTTGCTAAACTATGGATTTCAATGTCACGAGAGGTGGTGATGGCCACCACCAACATGAATGGATTTAATAGAGGATCGGACAAATTCATGGAGGATAAGGAGGATATTGATGGCTAAGTTCTACCTCCTGAATACTAGGAATGAGGGGTGTGTGCAGAAAGCAGTATTTTGTAAGGCACAGCACACAAATTAAGATGCACATCTGCATCTGGTCCCACTTACCATTGGTGTGTGGCCCCCAGAATAATATCCATGAGGGTGAGCACCACCAGGATTGACACCGTGATGCCAGAAACAAAGCCCCCAGGATTTGTGCTTTGATCTGGTAGACGTCAGTGCTTCACTTCCCAGACGTCACAAAAGCGGGGTAGGACAGAAAGAAAATGATGTTGCTATACTTTCAAGAAGTAGCAGCCTGTGGTCATTACATTGGTTGATAGTGTTTATGCAAATCCAGCTATGAAAATCAGGTGTTGCTTGCTGGTCCTCTTCTTAGCATTGCCAAGCCAGTAAAGCTGAGTAAAAGATAGAAACCAAAACTAGGAAAATTCCCCCGTTAATGTCTAGACTCTAGACATTTAGCAACCACTTTCTTCAGCCACCCTGGGTCTACAGAACTCTCCTTCGTATTCGCATCTCTCCATAGCTTACAATCCTTCCTAGTCTCAACCACTATGGAATTTCTTTCCTAAATAAAGCCATACAATCAAAGAGTCACAAGGGATCTTGAAAGTTAGCTAATCCAACCCCATGGGTCTGTGCTGGATCTTCCATGCAGGATCTGTAAATGGAGAAATCTGAGGGCTCCCTTGGACAAAAAACAAGGACACCAGCCAGGAATACCAGAGCAAAATAGCAGCCAGTAGGCTTGGTCTTTATTGAAGACTGTCATGACAGGACTCCCACCTGCCACAAGGTGGAACAAGATGGAAGCCCCAAACAAAAGAGCCCCCAAACTTTTATTAGCTGCTAATCCCCATGTTATACCTCCCGCCAACTACATCACTCATAGATCACAGTTACATCAAGAAAGGGGAGGTCTGGTGGCAGTAATCTGAGCATCCTGGACCCTGCCCCATGGTTCTCCTTGCCCTCCACCAAACACTCATCAATTGTAACAAAAGAGATATTTACATTTCCCTGTTTCCCAGCCAAGTTAATCACACCCTTTTGTCTTCATCTGGGTTTATTATTTCTGGAATGGCTACCTGTCTGGCACTCATGTGTTAGGATGCCAGGGATTATCACTCAGGCAGAGGGGCTGCTGAGTAGCTGAGCTCACATGTCTATATGAATTTCTGAAGTTTTGCCAGTGAGCCAGTACATAGATACATTTATCAGTGAATTCTTACATTTGGTACCATGCAGCAAAGGCCCTTTGAATAGATAGAAAGAAACTGTGATTAAGTGTTTTGTGGGGACAAATCACAAAAGTCACAAAAGCGATTGTGCTGATTTTGGTAGTGGGTTGCATGTGCATGATATCTGCTCGAGGGGCAACCCCCCCCAACCTATACATAAATTCCTGCAACAGATCCAATTACAGCATCCTTGATGCATGACTGCCCAGCCTCTATGACAGAACATAAGAAGAGTCCTACTGCATAATACCCAAGGCAGGGCTGATGAATTTTAATGAGGATTTGTTTTCTTTACAAAGTGATGTAGGAAAATGAAAAATCAAGAGAAATTGGTATTGACAGATTTGACCAGTCCTAGTCCTGCTAGATCTCCACATGTGGCCAGTGAGGCTATTTTGGTGAAGTCACATCCACTGGCCCTACTCCTGATGGAGAAAGTGTAACTTGATCTCGGGTGATTGACAGATTCATAAACCCAGCCACCCATCAAGCTTGTCCCTCAGGGGTTTGAGGGAGTTAAGTATCTGACCCAGGGGATAGATCCAGTTCCCCAGGATGGACTGAATGACAGACAGGTAGAAAGCTGTGTGTGTATCTTTTTAGGGAAGGTTGAGAGGGCCATAGCTCACTGGCAGTTAAGGATGGAAAGCTCTGTAATTTTGGTGCTCTCAGTCTGGTTTTTCTTAAATTTGGTTCTCCACAATTCTAATAAATAATAATCACCATAAACATTCTTCAGTATTTTGTTTGGCAATTTCTCCTCATATAATGCATTTTGGTATACTATTTTCATTCTTTATGCACACCTTCCCCTGGCATGTGCATTTTTGTAAACATTACTTGGTTGGAGAAATGAATCACAAAATTCAAAGAAGTGCGCATTTTGAGGGGTGGCTGTGTTTCAGTTCTCAAATTGTTTTGGAAAGTGCAAACTTATACATTCGGCTTTAAATGCAAACTGAATCAAAGTTGTCCCCCTTCCCTAGTGGTAGGGCATCTGCTTTGCATGCAGAAGAATCCAAGTTCAATTCCTGGTGTCCCCAGGTGGGCTGAGCCTGGAAAGAACCACTGCCAGTCAGCATAGATAGTATTGAACTTGATGGACCAGTGTTCTGACTCACTATAAGACAGCATCTTATGATCCTGCACACCACCCAAACAAAAATATGAGAGGTGAGAAGAGGGGTCTTTTTCCCCTCCTTCAAACCAACCATTGATCTCATTGGTCTCAAATACATTTGACAGCCATCCTCAGGGAGTGATCCACACTCCTGACAAGCAATCACTACAACTCGCTAGAATAACATTTTTGGCATAATGCCACCAAATTGATTTTCGAAGGAAGACAGATGTTGTTGCAGCCTCAAGCTTGTAAGTGACCAGCTATATCAGGATTGGAAAAAAACTGCACCAGCACCCAAGAGAAAACACTAACCTTTCTGATCAGAGCTTTGTTTTGAGAAAAGAAGGACAAGATTAATTTCCATCTGGCAAAATTGAGGCCATGCCCAGAGAGCCAGCTTACTGCCTCTGCAGTATGTTAAGAACTTGTTGAACTCACAATTTAAGAAGGTTTTGGGTGGTTGCTGCTATTGTTTTACTAGGGGGGGCACTGTTGTAATTTTTTATATTTTTGAAGTAATTATTTCAAGTATTGCAACAAAACAGAGGCAAAATTACTTTTTTAAAAATAAAAAATGTCTGCTTATTACATTGCTATATGCCTTTCACCCAAAGAAATCAGAGCAGCGTACAAAGTGTCCTCTATCCCATCCTCATTTTAACCTCACAGCAACCCTGTGAGGTAGGTTAGCCCAAAGTCATACTGGCAGATTCATCACAGAATAGCACACCAAAGGCCCATCTAGACCAGCATCTTGCTGTGGAAGCCCATAAGTAGGATGTGATAGCAACAGGTCTCGCTTGCTGTCGTCCTCCAGCAACTGGTATTCAGATAAACTGCCTCTGAACATGGAGGTTCCACTGTGTTAATCATGGCCAATAGCCATTAATAGACTCTTCCTCCATGGATTTGTCTAATCCCTTTTTAAAAGCCTCTTTGTGGGAAGCCATGCGATTTTAAATGCTCTTTAAAAGTATGGTGTGGATCTGGCCTATGTTAGCAGTCATCACCACCTTTTTTGGCAGTGCATTCATTATGTGAAGATCATTTAATTAATTTTAACCTGGATATAAAATTACAGGTGTGTGTGTGTGTGTGTGTGTGTGTGTGTGTGTGTGTGTGTGTGTTAAAGCAATAGGTTCCTTTTCCAAAAGACCAAGCTTCTGAGTCTGGAGCATCCCTGATCATTAGCTTTATTTTGTCCGACCAAAGCTGTCAATATGAATGGGAATAGAGCTTCAACAATATCTGGAGGAGCTGCTGTTAATTCTGAACTCAAATGTAATCATTATGAGTATTATTTACTAAACCTTCTTTCTAAGGTTTTTTAACACAGTGTAAAAACTAGTTTAAAACAAGGTAAGATCACAGAAATAACAGGGATCCTAAAAATATACATCCCAGATGTCAAAACCAAGGGTAAAGAGGTCTGTCCTCAGAATTAACTGAAAGCTATATACAGTGGTAGGGGCGCGGGTGGTGCTGTGGGTTAAACCACAGAGCCTAGGGCTTGCTGATCAGAAGGTCAGCGGTTCAAATCCCCACGATGGGGTGAGCTCCCGTTGCTCTGTCCCTGTTCCTGCTAACCTAGCAGTTCGAAAGCACCTCAAAGTGCAAGTAGATAAATAGGTACCGCTCCGGCGGGAAGGTAAACAGCGTTTCCATGCGCTGCTCTAGTTCACCAGAAGTGGCTTAGTCATGCTGGCCACATGACCCGGAAGCTGTATAAATGCCAATAAAGCGAGATGAGCACCGCAACCCCAGAGTCATCCGCGACTGGACCTAATGGTCAGCGGTCCCTTTACCTTTATATACAGTGGTACCTCAGGTTACAAACACCTCACATTACAAACACTTCAGGTTACAGACTCCGTTAACCCAGAAATAGTACCTCGGGTTAAGAACTTTGCTTCAGGATGAGAACAGAAATCGTGCGGCTTCTTAGGGGTGATGGATGTTGTATCTTAACATATGGGGTGCAGTTTAGCCACATCTGATTTAAAATAAAGCCTATTATGAGTCAAAGTTCATTTAAATGTAATCTACGATAATGTAAGCAAGGAACACACACACAAAAATATGTCTAGGACATCATAGATGTAACTTTCTCTTGACTTTTTGTCTCTTTGAAGGGATCTACGACTGAGTACGATGGACACCAAGGTAGAGAGAAATGTGGTAAGATGATATGAATGAGATAAATTACAAGTGAATATTTTTGGCATGGGTGGTCTGAAAATGTTGGATTTGAGCCAGTTGTTGCTTGGGTTGATAATTCCTTGGTGGTGGAGAGGGGGGCACTTAAAGTAGGCACAGTCACACCTGCCAGGTGGGTTTGCCGAGTCACGCAAAACAATGTAAACAGGTCCCAAGTTGCTAAGGGCTTTATATACTTGGCCTAGTAGCAAATCAGTAACCAGTGTAGAGCACCCGTGTTATAAGCCTCCTTCCTGTCAGTGATTGTCCTGCAGCATTTTGCACCACCTGCAGCTTCCAGATCAAATGTGAGGGAAGTCCCACATGGAGCACATTGCAGTAATCCAGTTTTGAAGTAATCAGTGCATGAACTATTATGGCAAAGCTTCCCCAGTCCAGGAATGGCTGTTGCTGTCAAAACAGCAGCACTTGGTAAAAGGTACTTCCAGACACTGTGCTACCTGAGCCTTCAGTAACACAGCTGGATCCAAAAGCACCCCAAACTGCGAACCTGCTCCTTAAAGGAGAAAGCAACCTCATCCAAGGTAGGCAACTGACCAGTTTCTTAGAAACAAGAGCTATTCACCCATGGTGCCTACTTGAACTAGTATCAGTGACAGGATGAAGTGGTTTCAGTGCTAGAAAACAGGTTTCTGTATGCCGGATGTGTATCCTATAATTTTCACCTTGCCTTTGTCAGCTGCATTGCACAAACAGGTATCCACACATTGGGGAAATGGTACAGAGCTGTTGTCCCAACACTCCTGTGCCTGGGACTTTATGATTCTTCAGAACCCCACTCTGAACACACCTGCAGGCCATCCAGGTTGCCTGGGGATTTGTTCTTCTCGTGAGGAGTAGCTTACTCATGAATGTGCATGTGTGTGTGTGTGTGTGTGTGAACAACGACTGCAAAGAAGTGAAAAAGAGAAGAGTAGCAGCAGTTGGGCCCTTTGCAGGGACAAATACTTTGCTCCACCACCATCACCACCTCCACAAAATATGAAACTTCCATTTGCAACTTCACCACATGTAAACAAAAAGCACATAGGGAGTGGTGGACTGTTTTGGACATTCGTTCTCCTTTTTCTTCCTGTTATCAGCATTTCTGTCCCAACTTTTATCCAAGAAGCTCAAGGTGGCAATCCTGGCTCCGCCCCCTGCTCCCCCCCCCCATTTTATCCTTGCAACAGCCTTGTGAGGTGGATTAGACTGATGGACTGTGACTGGCACAAAGTCACCCAGTGAGCTTCATGGCTGAGTGGAGATTTGAACCCTGGTCTTCCAAGGCCAACATACTAACCAATACATTAAACCAGTGCTAGTACATGGGCACAGTACCCAGGGCAACAAGAATGGTAGTTCTCCTAGTCCAGTGCATCTGGCTGTTTCCATTTTGCCTCCATAGAATTAGAAAATAAGATGGTTGGGGGTTAATGAGTTCACGAGTAGTCAATATACCCATTAAAAGAGCAAAGTATCCAATCTTAATGCAAGGATATTTTGTTGGGAAGATAAAGGAAGCTCATGTCTAAAATTGAGCAGATTATCTACAAGACTCTCAAGGCCAAACTGCCTTGCCGAGTTGATTCAGAGCTATTAAAACCACCTAATAAATCTTCATCCCACATTTCTTTTGGCAGAGAACAGGATACCGTTAGCTAAATACCTAGAGGTACTCAAATGTCACTTTATGTGTACACACACACACACACACACACACACACATTACTCAGCTATCAATCATCAAGGGCTGAATTGGAAACAGCCCACTAGGATTTAATTGAGATTAATGCATGGATAGATAATTGAAGGGGTATCAGGCTCGTATTCAGTGACATAGTGTAGCCTATGTTGTGAGCAAGGAGGAAGTGTCACAGAATCAATCATCCTAGAGAGGCAAAGCTCTGCTTTTGTGCAGTCAATGCTGTGTTTCATTCATTTACCCTTGACTGAATATTGAAATCTACGGCATTTTCTACTGATCCAGAAAGATAGCCCATCCATTTAGTCCTAGGGTAGAGAACCTTCTTGGTTCAACAGGTCAGATCCTTATCAGGATCAGCCTTGAGGGACCTCCCAGTTGTCAATCATCTGAAGTCCAGATACAATGCCAGCTGCAATGGGTTTTGGGTTACAGATTGGGCACTCAGTCTCTAAGCACCTTGCAAATCCCTTCCTGATTTGATGTGGAACCCTACCAAACTGAGCAGGATTTAAGTCCCATTCATCGGCTGATAAGTTAAGGGGTTAAATCCTGTTATGCTAAGGTTACCAGATGTTGAACTAAGCTAATCGAAAACTGAGGTACCACTGTACAGTATTTATTTTTTCCCAATTTGAACCGTATATGAATGATTATTTATTACAACAGCAGTCATAAAGAAGAAACATGAAACACACAGAAAAAAAATGGGATATAAAGGTTAAATTGCCGCGTTGGCGCTTTGCAATAAATAAGTGGGTTTTGGGTTACAGATTGGGCACTCAGTCTCTAAAAGGTTCACCATCACTGTACTAGGGCTATGCCCCGATTCTGATGAAACCCAAATTTTGAACAAAATCAGCTTAGGCTGGATTGGGTTGTCCCATGCCAAATTGACTCACCTAGAGCAATCCGGTGCTGTCAAAAGACAGGGCAGGCAACCTCTGCACAGCCTCCTTCACCAACCCTTCCCTGTGAGGAGCACAAGTGGTGAAACAACAAGCAGCCAATGAGCAGAACATTAACTCCTCCTTTCTGCACAGGCTCCTTGACCAGTGCAATTTCCCCAGGGAACATGTTGGCAAGGCAGCACCCAGAAGGATTGAATGCAGTTTTTCTTCTTCCCCTGTTACCACCCTTCTGACAACATTAAAACAGGCCCCCAAATCAATTTGGAGCCTGGATCCAAGGTGGACTCTGAGTTGGATTGGTATGTAGGTACACAGCCATAGAATGTGTTCCACATCTCAGACTGATGGGCTAAATTGGAACCTGCGTCTCATTTACTTAGGTCTGCTGGTAGGAGATTCCTCACCAGTGCTCTAGAGGTTGCTAGGCTCCAACTTCCATCAGCCCTGCTGACTACAGCTGATGTACCCATAGCAGTCTTTGCTCAGATCTTGTAGTTCCAATGCTGTTTGTCAAATGTTGTGATACATAAACCATTCAGAAAGCCAGGCAATAACTGAAAAACATGTTTTATCAAGTGAAAGAACCTAGAGAAGTATTAATGACATATTTGTTGTCCCAGCTGAGTTCAGGCATGAAATTTCCACCTAAAGCCAGTAGAAGGCTCTGTTCTATCACATATGAGAAATGTGTTAGAGGCACATAACTTGTTTCTAAGAATCCTGCATCCATCTAGTGTAAAGTGAGAGCTGGACCATAAAGAGGGCTGATTGCCGAAGAATTGATGCTTTTGAATTATGGTGCTGGAGGAGACTCTTGAGAGTCCCATGGATTGCAAGAAGATCAAACCTATCCATTCTGAAGGAAATCAGCCCTGAGTGCTCACTGGAAGGACAGATCCTGAAGCTGAGGCTCTAATACTTTGGCCACCTCATGAGAAGAGAAGACTCCCTGGAAAAGACCCTGGTGCTGGGAAAGATGGAGGGCACAAGGAGAAGGGGACGACAGAGGATGAGATGGTTGGATAGTGTTCTCGAAGCTACCAGCATGAGTCTGACCAAACTGCGGGAGGCAGTGGAAGACAGGAGTGCCTGGCATGCTCTGGTCCATGGGGTCACGAAGAGTCGGACACAACTAAACGACTAAACGACTAAACAACAACAACAACAGTGTAAAGTCATAATTAATGACACCAATCAAGCCTCAGCATCAGGCTCTGATCCTTGCCAAGCCAATACAGTAATGTTCTTGAGTTGTGAAATTCTTCCTTGGTGATGGAACTCAAAAAGCTGAATCACTGCTTCTAATTTGAGATGGTGACTCTAGGTGATTCTTGGTGAATTAAGCACACTGAAAGTTCATTATCCCACTGATAAACTCACATGATCTAATTCAATGCATTAATAAAGAAATGTGTGGTGTGTGTTTTTTAAAAAAAACCCAAACTACTTTTCTCCCACACCTGCTTCCTGGAGCTCAGATAATAATTCCAAAAAACACCAATATTTCAATCCCACAGCTTTGGCACCTTTCTGTGGTCCTTTGTGGGGATGCTAAGTCACCTCGGAGCATCATTTTAGTTTAAAGAAAGAGCAGTAGGAACCAGGCCCAGATAGAGGGGGGACCATATGGGCCACTTGGCTCGGGCCTTTGATTCCAAAGGGGGCCTCAGTCAGCATATTCAAAAAATTATTTATATACAGTGGTACTGAGGCAAGGAAGAAGGGCTACTCTTATGCAATTCATATAATCAGTTATCAGTAATCAATATATTCATATATGCTCACACATAATCAGGGCTTACAGTATTTTATAATCCATTTTGAATCAAAGGGAAGCTGTGCCTTAGCTATCTGCATACTGCTTGAAACAGCAAAATTAGGAGCCGACCTTTCCCCTACAAACATCCGTGTACCCTGAATAAGAGGAAGAGGTGAATCAGAGATACTGGTACAAAATCCCCTCAGATACAGGCTAAATTAATCCACAGAACAGGAAGAGCAAAATACCAAAATCTCCAATACTCCCTGTCCTGTCATAACTAGGGAGAGGTTAGACACAGCATCACTGCAAGCAGTGGAAAGCAAAACTAGAACTCCGTGCTTGACCAGTGCTTGACCAGGAGCTGGAAGCATAGCAAGAAGCTCGCTAATTGGCTAATTTTCGCTGGCGATATCGTGACTGCCTCATGGTTGTCTCATGATCTATGATTTGCTGTGATCTGCTCAGATATAAAGACCTCTGGATTTCTGACAATCGGGGTCCCAGTTCCTTTTGGAAGAGATTCCAAACTGGGTCCTTATTGCCTGGCAATAAACTTCACCTTCTTATTCTCCATTGCTGAGTCTGCCTGATCCTTATTAACGACAAGCGAGTACCTGCTTACGTTCACGTGCTTCAGTACCTCGGGTTACATACGCTTCAGGTTACAGACTCCGCTAACCCAGAAATAGTGCTTCAGGTTAAGAACTTTGCTTCAGGATGAGAACAGAAATCATGCTCCGGCGGCGCGGCAGCAGCAGGAGGCCCCATTAGCTAAAGTGGTGCTTCGGGTTAAGAACAGTTTCAGGTTAAGAACGGACCAACGAATTAAGTACTTAACCCGAGGTACCACTGTACTTACTTGTTTATAAGACTTCAGTTATCCCCAGGGTAAAAAAAAGAGGGGGGCACATTATCTACCTGACCTGGGCCTCTGCCTGGCTCTGCAAGGCCCTGGTAGTAACAAGGGTTTTGTTTGTTTTCTTCTTGTCTTTTCAGTGCCATGGAAAATATCAGCAGAGGCTTTGAAAGGTCTGCAGACAATGGCGTCTGAGAAAGCAGCTGCATATCTTCAAGGTCAGTGAGAATAGTCTATAAATCAAAGTATGAGAGGTCGCCCTCTCCCACCATAAAAGCCTCATTGCTTCTTTCTGTATACCTTATATTCTTTGAGTTCCACAAATGCTCTTGTCTACCCCATGACTCTCCACTGTATACATGTGTGTAGAATAGGGTGTTCCAGAGGCATGTTGTAGATATCTATGGATCCATAGGATTGCCAGTCAGTGTAGGCAGTACTCTGCTAGATGGACCAATAGTCTGACTCAGGATAAGCCAGCTTCCTATGTTCCTTTTGCTATCCACTTAGAGTGAGTCCCCTATCTGGGCCTTCATTTTTTGTCGCACTCCAGCCGGTGCCTTCAGCAGCTAAGGTCCCACTCCTAGGAGACAGTAAGTGGGCACACTCACTTGCAAAGCCATGGTTGGTAGTGCAGTGCAGTCTAAACCAAGGTCAAGTACAGATTATCAGCCCAGGTCAAAAGCATGATCCAGAGATAAGGCCAGTTCAAGGTCAATATCACAAAGAATTCTAACAAGGGAACACTTGGGAACAAGGAAACAGAGACTTTTGTTGTCACCATAAAATGGAAGGCTCGTCTTTTCTGACTTCTTAGAACAAACCCTAGCCACAGCTGCTGATAATAAATGCATTTCAGGGACCCCTTACACACAAGGAGACCCAATCTACTTCTACTTGTGGGAATGTTAAGGATTGTAGGAGAGGATATATTGATTAAGTAGTATCCTTCCTTCACTCATGCTAGTGAGTGATGTAGCAGAGCAAATTCCCCTCAATATAGCTGGAAGCTAGTTTGCGGATTCGCTTGAATCTCTTAGTTAATATTTCCTGGTATCCCCTTTGATCCCACTTAAAAGAATAAAGACACAAGAGTCTTTCTGAGTAAAGTAACAAAAGGTTTACTCACATTTCAGGTCACAATTTGATCCCTGAAAGGCAGGCTTTACTTAATAGTTACACAAAGAAGCAGTGAGTTTGTCTCATATGGAGACTGAACTCATGTGCTGCTGGCTGAGAGCCAGCAGACAGCAAAATTAGATTAAGACAACAAAATGGCTGGAGGAGAGCAGCATGACAGCAAAAAGAGATAACAAAACAACACTGGAACAAGACAACTTCAAGACTGACAAAATGGGTGTATGACTCCTTTTATGGAGTCAGTCAGAGCCATGGCCATCTCCCAGATCACATGCAGGGGGAGGAAACTCCAGACCAGTGGAATAGGAAGTTATACTGGCTGGATGTCCCCCTCCCTGTGCCCACTCTAGGGGAATAAGGAATGTTGCATTTGACTGTACCAATGAATTACATCCTACACTACTCACATGCCACATGATAACTCTGGGTCTGCAGCCACATGTCATGTCATCTGTCTCAGCAGACCTTTTGGTACTGGTGTTCTTCATGTCTGGAGTTGTGATGACTGCACTTCCTCTGGTCTCTCCCAGAGGGCCCCTCAGCCCTGGCTCCAAGGAAACGTGTCTGCTCCTCAGGGTCCTTGGGGCACCTGGTTTATCCTCTAAGGAAGGTGTTGCTGAACTACAACTCCCATCATCCTTAGTTATTGGCCATGTTTGCTGGGGCTGATGGGAACTGTAGTTCCGCAACATCTGGAGGGCCAAAGCCCTGCTCTAAGAACTCCCATATGTGGTATTAGGTGAGGGCTGGGTATGACAAGGATTCAGTCCCTCTCATTCCCTACCGATCCCACAAAATTAGACTCAAACTGTGCCAGCCCTGGTGACAATAGAAGGAAAACAAATCTCCATACATTCTGCTTCTGTCCTGGCTGCAGCAGGCAACCAGAAATAAGGATCTGGTGGTTACAACTGGGATAATTTTCCTTGCTCGTGTTTCCATAGAGCAAGAATGGAGAAGCTTTGGTCCTAACAAGATGTTGGCCCTGTCATTCTTGGCTCTTAACCATGCTCTTTGGGGGCTGATGGGAGTTGCACTCCAATGACATCCAGAAGACCAAAGGTTCCCCATCCCTGCCATAAAGTTTTTGTAGTTAACATTAGGGCTGCCATACATCCTAAACTGCCTCTGTCCTGTATACCTGAAGGAGCGTCTCCACCCCCATCGTTCAACCTAGACACTGAGATCCAGCGCCGAAGGCCTTCTGGCGGTGCCCTCATTGCGAGAAGTGAGGTTACAGGGAACCAGACAGAAGGCCTTCTCGGTAGTGGCACCCGCCCTGTGGAACACCCTCCCACCAGATGTGAAGGAAATAAGCAGCTATCTTATCTTTAAAAAACATCTGAAGGCAGCCCTGTTTAGGGAAGTTTTTAATATTTAATGCTGTATTGTTTTTAACACTCGATTGGAAGCCGCCCAGAGTAGCTGGGGAAAGTCAGCCAGATGGGCGCGGTATAAATAATATATTATTATTATCCAGAATTTCCCAGGCATAGCTGGGATTGAGACTCAATTCAGACTAGGGGTGGGAAGAAAAGAAACCCCCTACACCACAAACACTCATTTGGCCTTATGGCATCTTTGGCCAGGGCCAGCCCATGATGTGTTGTTGCTTGAGGCAAAGCATAAAATGGTGCACCCTTCCCCCACCACTGGCACCTCCTCCGCCTGAGGCAACCAGAGACAGTCCAGGGGAGCCTCTGACTGCTGAAGGAGGCGGGGGTGGCAGCCAGAGAGGAGCAAACAGTGGGTAGGGGTGGAGCAGGAAGCGAGGTGGTGGTGACAGCAAGCAACAAGCACAGAAGGTGGTAAGCAACGTGCTCTTGGGGCCCCAGACCTGCTGCCACTGCCAGCTGTTCCCAGCATGCTGCCTGAGGTGACTGCCTCACTGTCTTTGACTGCCCTACACCTTGTATCACATATATAAAAAAACCAATCAGGAAATTCGTAGCTTATCTCCATGCCACTCTACACATATTGGCAGGCAGGCAGGCCTGCCCATGAGGCAGGCTGAGGCAGTTGTCACCAGTGGTAGAAACCTAAGAGGTGGTGTCCCTGTGGGCACCTTGCCTGCCCTGCTACCTCTGGCAGTGACAGAGAAGCAGGGGTTTTTCCAGTGAACAACAACAACAACAACAACAATTTATTATTTATACCCCACCCATCTGGCTGGGCTTCCCCAGCCACTCTGGGCGGCTTCCAACCAAATATTAAAATACAGTAATACATCAAACATTAAAAGCTTCCCTAAACAGGGCTACCTTCAGATGTCTTCTAAAAGTTTTGTACGCTACCCAGGTAAGCAAGGCTACATTACGGCCAGGGGGCAGTGGCAGGGTGACATTTTCCCGCTGAGCCTCAGATGGCGAAAAGTGACTCACTTCCCCTGCATATTGGCCCAGTGTGCATGTCACAGTAAGCATGTCTTAAACAAGCAATGGTTAAATGTAAATGAGCAGTAGGCTTGTGAACACTCAGACTTTCCTGAATTATTCTCCTCCACCACCCCTGTGGGGAAAGTAGAATTCAGATACCTTACATGTGTTGAGCTTAGCTCCCATCCTCGTCGCCAGTGAAATATATTCAGAGTCGAGAGTGGATTTCATGCTCTTTATTCAGCTCATGGTGGTGAGGAGGAATGGAAGTTCCCCCAGAATATCTGCTTTATATACATTATTTACACAATGGCCTGCATGTGATTGGCTAATTCCAGGATTCTCCTGTGAGCCAATCAGGTCGCGGATTCACTTCCACCTGGAGCTGGATTGAGTGGCTCCTGTGGACCAATCAGAGTGCTGCATTCTGGAGCCTATTGTTCTAGGACCAATCAGGCTGCTGCATTCTGAATCCTATTGTTCTAGGACCAATCAGACTGCTGCATTTTGGATCCTATTCAAATCAGTACATAACAGAACCATATAATAAGAACTTTATTGTTCAACACATCTTTCTTATTGAAGTCTAATTAACCTTTGGGAGTGTTGTAGAAAGGGAAGGAATTGGTTACAGAGGAACAAAACACCCATACCATCTCCAGATGTCACCAAGCTCAACAATCAGGCGCTTTTGTGCTTCCGCGTGTTGCATTTCTAGCCCACTCCCCCCCCCCAAGGAGCTCAACGTGGCATACATGGTTCTTTCCCTCCTCATTTAACCCCCCACAAGAGCCCTGTGAGATAGGCTAAGAGATGATGACCCAGTGAGCTTCATTGCCAAGTGGGGATTTGAAACCTGGTCTCCCAGGTCCTAGTCCATCACTCTAACTTCAACACCACAGCACATGAAATAAAGAATTATGATGTTGGCAAATGTGTCTGTTGGAGAAATTTGCACTAAACTGATGACAGGTGCATGTGACTTGGCTTAAAAGGCTTCATGAGTCATAGGGAGAAACCAAGAGTCCTCATTAGGCCAATCTACTGCAGGATTTCCAACAACTATCTTCTTGTCACCTTGAGACAATTTTTTATAGTAGGCATCTAACACGCTTAACTAATAATAATAGTAGAATTATATAATTGTAGAGTTGGAAGGAACACCCCAAGGGTCACCAAGTATTCCTAAAAGAAAAGCTTCTGGTTTCTTTAAAAAAGTTATATTGAACATCCCCCCCCCCAGCTCATTATGTATCATTTCCCAGAACAACATCTGCTTCTATATATAGTAGAGATAAGGCATCCAGCTTACCGTGTTGCATAGTTGTTGGTTGTTCTGTTGTGGTTTTTAATATACTTCAACCAAGAAAATGAAAGCTCACCTGAGCAATTTCTGCCAATTAATGTTAAAAAGCTGGCAATGGAAAATGTTTGTGGTGCCCCCCTTCCCTTGATGCCTTAAACACTGCTTACTTTGCTTAATAGTTAATCTAGCCCTGATGAAGGGCCTTCTGCTCTTTTGTTCTGGGTGAGTCAAGTAATCTACTGATTAGTTTGACACAGTGGGAGGTTTCAGATTGCCTTGAAAGCCTTTTGATTGATGAGCTTCTATCTCACCACAATGTCATCAGCTGGTCATGCAACAAATGGTTGCATCAACTGGATGACCTCAATCCACATCCACTTGCATTCTCAGAGCTCAGCTGAAAGCAGCCATAAGGGCGAAACTGAACCAGACGTAAGAGCAGGAAGGTCAAATGAGGAGCCAAAAGTAGAAACTATTCAATGAGTAATTTCCTTCAGCTTTCTCCTATGCTGCTGCTGGGACTGCAGAAGTGTGTGCCACCACCTGCAGATGTGCTGCGTGGCAGGATTTGACTCAGTCCTATGCAATAGTCATACACAGTTACTGATGTAACTGAAGTTTCTGATACACAAAGAAGTTCCTCTGGGATTACATCTTCAGGAGGAACATGCTTTGTGTTGAGTCAGTTACTTACAGATTTTGCTCCTAGCATGTTTTCTTGACTAAATTCTAAAACAGGTTGCAATTGAGAAGATTTTGGATATGAAGGGTCATTGTCAACTGAATTCTACTCAGAGCAGACCCACTGAAATGAATAGGCTTCAGATAGTCATGCCCATTCATTTCAATGGGTCTACACTTTGAGTATGACTTAGTTGAACACAACTGAAGGCTTTATTATATCAGGGATGAGGAACCTGTCAAACTCCAAATGCTGCTGGACTCCTAAGACCCATCATCCTTGGCCACTGGACATGTCCATTGAGGCTGTTGAGAGTTGGAGTCCAACAACATATGGAGAGCCAGAAGTTCTCTACTTCTGCTGTATATGGCCTGGTGTGTCCACATTGACTTGGTGGTGTGTTCACATTGATTCTCCTGACTAGATTCAAGCTCAGAAGTGGGTGCTTAATTCACAGATCCTAACATACCTGTTTCTGCTGGTGATGTAGCAGAAGGTCAGGCACCAAACCCCGTTTGCTGGAGTTCCTAATTCAGGGATGGGGAACCTGTAGCCCTTCAGTTGCTATTGGACTCCCATCAGCCTCTGCCACTATGTCCAATGGCCAAGGATGATGGGGGTTATAGTTAAACTACATCTGGAGGGTTACAGGTTCTCAATCTCTACCCTGCTTCAAGACTTTTCAGTACCTGGTTCTTTGAATATATACCAACATCTATTTGTGCTTCTTGGTGCAATTGCAATAAAATAACAACAACAACACAGAATTAGTGAATTTGACAGTGATAGTTTCTGAGAGGAGCTGAAACTAAAAGGCTTGTTCTTCCCACCTGAGTCTGAAGTTTGATTGAAATGAATCTAGACGATCTGTGTCCTTCAAGCATACCTGAAATTGAACTGTTTCCAAATTCTAGAGCACTTGACCCAAAAAGGGATATTAGTGACTGGGCAATAGTTATCTGGTCTTCAACCGCTGGGTCAGGACTCAGGACCCACTACTGGGTCGTGGCCTGATCCAATGTGGCTTGCAATAGGAGCACCAGTACAATGCAAATATATAAGAAATGGGTCCCCAAATACATGTTTGAGTTAAAAGTGGTCCTGGGCCTGAGAAGGTTGAAGATACCTGATCTAATATTTCCAGATCCAGTGACAAACTTTTGAGAAGGTGGTACACTATTGCCTACTTAAGGGCAACGTGAGGTTGTATTAACTTTTTGGCATGGGCAGAAATGTGTGTGTTCCCATTAGTAAAATGCAACACAAACAGAATCTACACAATGCCACACAAACAGAGGTATGTTGCATTTTATCATACAATCAAATGAAGATTAGATTTGGCTGTTAGGTTTTGCAGTTTCTTATTAATGAGCATTGGTAGCATGGGGGGGGGGCGGACAAATGAATGGAAAGTTTCAGAGCATATTATAATTTTTTTTTAAAGAAACTCTCCATTTTAAATAAGAACTCAGGACAGGAACTGAGGATAAAGCAAATCCACAGAAGAACAAAGAAGTGAAAAAGTGAAAATCCTATTGGGCAGTGTCAACATTATTGAGCTCATGGCAAGGTGCATGCCCCAGCAGGAGATACATGTGCAATATCTGGAGCCTTCTGGCCCTACTGCATCTTCATATCACTATTGAATACCTATTATTTCTGAGCAAAGGGAGAAGAAGGAGAAGTTCACTGCCAGAGTCCTTGACTTTTCCTCTGGGAGGTGGACAGAGTAGGGACAGAAAGAAAGCCAATGGGTGGTCAGTGATGCAGAGGTGATGTAAACACTGGGTAGTGTGACCTACTGGTGACAGCTTGCCCTAGGGCCCCCAAAATCCTGGCACCAAACCTGGTACCCAGCTTTTTCTAAATAAAATTATTGATGGATTATTTATTATTTTATTAAACAATAAAGCAGACAGTACAAATGGAAAAAGACAAACAAAAAATTATATGAATTCAGTACAAGGAGCTTTTGATGATAAAATCCAAAACTCAAATAGTAACACATCAGGAATAAATAGTATGACTATAGTTGTAAAGTTATAAATGGGGTGTAAAAGTAATAAATGGGATTTACATTGAACAAGAAAAGAAAAGGATATTGCCTGTTTGTAAATTACTCGCGTGTAATTATGTTGTCGTATAGTTTTTATTATTATTTATTGTTCATTAGATTTATATACCACCCTTCATCATAAGATCTCAGTGCAGTTCACAGAATAAAATACAGGATAAAAACACAAGTAAATAATTAAAACAAAACAGCAAAACAATAACCCCGGTGTTGTGTATTCAGTGGTCTGTGTTTGCCTGGAGTCTGGACTAAGGATTCCGAGCTCCTGTGTTCTGATTCGATACATATTGTCCAATCACAGAACATTTCAGTATTTTGGCCTCTGCCATTGGCCCTTGAACTCTGAGTCATGATTTCCAGTTTGGAAGTGTAGACAGCCAATCACGTTGGGAGTGGCCCAGGCTTTCAGAAATATATATAAGTAGTTGCTTTGGCTCTGTTTCCCAGTTAGGTAGTTCAATAAAGGTTCTTGTCGTTATCACTGTGTCTTGCCTCGTGGGAACACACCTACACTTCACTCCCCCCCCTTCCCACAGACACATTTAAAAGGCTATGGAATATTAATCAGCTGAAGGCGGAAGAGGAATGTTTTTGCCTGGCATCTAAAAATATATAATGAAGGTGTCTCCCTGTGGAGAGCATTCCACAAGCAGGGAGTTCTTGTGTTGCCACCCTCCGGACCTCACATGGAGGAGGCACATGAGAAAGGGCCTCAGAGGATGAATGCAGAGACCATGACGGTTAAATGGGGAGAGGCGGTTCTTGAGGTATTGTGGTCCTGAGCCATTTAAGGCCTTATAGGTCAAAAACAGCACTTTGAACTGGGCCTATAAGCTAATTGGCAGCCAGTGCAGTCAGGCCAGGATCAGTGTAATAATATGCTCAAACCGTCGTGTCTCAGTGAGCAGCCTGGCTGTCAAATTCTGCACCAGCTGAAGCTTCTGAACCATCTTCAGAGGCAGCCCGACATCATTAATCATTAACCCTCAAATAGAAGTGAAATCAGAAAGATCAGTGCTATCCCTAACCACATAAAGTCAACAGGTCAATTTCCCTGAGCATTGGATGTAATTTTCTTGAGCCAGTCTAAAGTATAACATGAGACATCATTCCAGCCCTATGCAATTATTAATCAAGTGACCACCAAGAGATATATAATTAACTGTTTACATATAAGATCCATGCCTAGTTTTTGCATTCATTAAAGTTGTCTCTACGCCAATATATTTAATTGCTATCCTTTTGTATTATTGTGATTAATAGCTATACAGTGGTACCTTGGGTTAAGAACTTAATTTGTTCTGGAGGTCCGTTCTTAACCTGAAACTGTTCTTAGCCTGAGGCACAACTTTAGCTAATGGGGCCTCCTGCTGCCGCCTCATGATTTCTGTTCTCATCCTGAGGTAAAGTTCTTAACCTGAGGCATAGCTGTCAACTTTCAGATTTGAAAATAAGGGATCAGCAGTCTCACCAGTCCTGGGGACAGTCTACAGGATATCTAACAATCCGGGATAGCAGCGGGAAGCAGCGGCAAATGGCGCTGGAATAAGGGAATTTCCCACAAAAAAAGGGAAGGTTGACAGCTATGACCCGAGGTACAGTGGTGCCTCGCAAGACGAAATTAATCCGTTCCGCGAGAGTCTTCGTCTAGCGGTTTTTTCGTCTTGCGAAGCAAGCCCATTGACGGATTAGCGCTATTAGCGCTATTAGCGGTTTAGCGGCTATTAAAGGCTTAAAGGCTTAGGGAATTAGCTGCTAAAAGGCTATTAAAGGCTATTAAAGGCTTAGCAGATTAGATAAAGGGGGGGGAAAGCGAAAAAAAATCTCAAGACTCGCAAGGTATTTTCGTCTTGCGAAGCAAGCCCATAGGGGAATTCGTCCTGCGAAGCAACTTCAAAACGGAAAACCCTTTCGTCTAGCGGTTTTTCCGTCTTGCGAGGCATTCGTCTTGCGGGGCACCACTGTACTATTTCTGGGTTAGCGGAGTCTGTAACCTGAAGCTTCTGTAACCTGAAGCGTCTGTAACCCGAGGTAGCACTGTACTGCTTACCGGCAAAAATGGCTTAAAGGCAGTTTACAAGTATATAATCAATTGTAATATGCACACAAAATTAAAATCCACAATAAAACAATTTCATTAAAGCATTCAAAAAACATCCATGATTAAAATGTGCAATAAAACAAGTTACAATATGGTTGAAATACATAACAATTTAAAACTTTTTTAGTAAAGCAATTAAAACAATTATAACAGGAAGTTCAAGTTCAGGGGAATGTTTCTCTAAACAGGTGTCTCTTCAAGAGCTGACAGAATGCGAATCTTGATGGGGTCTCTTGTATTACAGCATGGATCGGATAAATCATGGGTGGGAAACCCTGGAACCAAATGTTACCCTCTTAAGTTATCTGGCCCTCGGGACTCTCCACACCACACTCCCTCCCCCAAGCCACGCCACTCACTGGCTCTGCTTCATTGAGTGTGCCCTCCACCCCCGAGTGGAATATGTCCTTGAGCTGTGATAATGTTTCTTGCTTGCTTAGATGGAGGATAGAGAGGAGTATGTGAGTGCCTGTAGAAAACAGCCTACTGTACAAAGGCAAAAATTACATTTGCCGGGCCTCTCACTTTTGTCCCAGGCCCCGCCCACCTCTGACACGGTTGTCCCAGAAGATAATGTGACCGTCTGGCTGAAATTGGCTTCCCAGCCATTTTAAATGATGAATGCTTATATCTCATCCTCTCCTTTCTTTAGTGCTTAGGCCAATCAACCAGTCAGAACTACGATGGATTAATGAGGGCATCCTGTACAACATTCACTACAACCATGGAAGGCTGGTGATTCAGACACCTGGAATGTACTTCATCTATTGTCATTTGCACTTTTACATTGCCGAGTGCAAAGGTGGGGAGATCACCATAAAGTTGGAGATTCTTGTGAACACATCTGTGGCGAGGTCAACTTTGCTCACTTTGTGCAGCTCTCAGAAAACTTTCAGAGACAAAAGACAAGACCTCTTCGTAACTTTACTGGCAGAATTGAAGAAGGGGAATACAATAGGAGTACAGGTCAATGAATTCAGCTATGTGGATGTATCTGACTTTCCTGAAAACAATGTTTTTGGAGCCTTCAAGTACACTGGTGAAAACTGGAGGTACTCTTTGTTCAGGACAGAAGATGAAAAATGACTTTAATTGTTCTAAATAAAGGTATATGTATACTGAGGGCCTGTCATTTGAGATGTGCCAAATTCAGTTCCTCTTGAAGGGACTATGGAACATTTGGTGGCTATTATGCAGAGAACAGTGGAGGCTGGTCCACTAGGACAAACAGGGCACTGCCCCATCGACATCAATCTGCCCTTAGCCAGCCTGCCCTTGCTTGCCTTCTTCTTTACAACCAGACAAGGGTTGACCCTGGCTTTCAGCTTCATAGTGTTATCCTGGTAGAACTCAAAGGGAAGGAGGATGGGGACAAAACCAGAATTAGTTGACTCCACCTGTCATAGGCTCTGGATCTGGATCTGTCTTCTGCCCTCCCTCCCAACCCCTTTGGGCACCACTCACCAATGGCAGAAAGTGGGGTGTGAAATACACATACACACACAAAGAAACAAACCTGTTATTGCTGCAAAAAAGTTCAAAGGTATTTCTGATCTTATAAAATACAGTGGACGCTCGGGTTGTGAACATGATCTGTGCGGGATGCACGTTTGCAACCCGCAGCATTCGCAACCCGCGTCTGCGTGTCTGTGCACATGCAGGTTGCGATTCAGCACGTCTATGCATGCACAAAGCGTGATTTACCACTTCTGCGCATGCGCGACCACCAAAACCCGGAAGTAACCTGTTCCAGTACTTCTGGATTTTGGCGTTCCGCAACCCGGAAGTAACCCATTCTGGTACTTCTGGGTTTCGGCGGTCTGCAACCCAAAAAAACGCAACCTGAAATATCTGTAACCCGAGGTAAGACTGTACAAGGATACCCTGAACTGGCATAGAAATGGGGGGACTGGGTGCTATATTTTCTTTTTTTCTATTTATATGGTAGAAGAAAATACAGGTATGATCTAGCAGTTATATGTCCCATTGATGTCAGTGGAAGAGCTTTGTGGTGCAATTCTACATGTTTGCTCAGATATAAGCCACATCGAGTCCACTGACAGGGATAGAAGAACCTCAGGTGTGGGGGCCATATGTGCCCATCCAGGCCTCTTTATTTGGCCCTTGGGATTTCCACCAGGCTGCACCAGTTCTTCAGCCACATCCCCTCTCCCTAGGCCACACCATTCACTATCTCTGTCAATGCCTCTTGCAAGAGGATAGAGAGCGGTACATGACTGTGTATAGAAACTAGCCTACCGGAAAAAGTAACATTCACATTTTTTGCTCTGCCTAGTCTTTCAGCTGGCTCACACACCACTTTGGCATGTGGCTGCAGGAAGCTTGCCCAGAAGGGTATGTGGCCCTTCGGATGAAAATTATTTCCCAGGCCTAGTGCATAGGATTGCAGCCCTTCTCTCTCCCGCTGAGAATAATTGGACCTAAAAGTCAGTTTTGCCCATTGGATTTATATTCCAGGGATGCAATCCCACACCCAATTTCCTGGGAATAAGCCTGTTAAATACAGTGGAATTTATTTAGGAATTGGAATAGCCGTGTATAATATTGTTAGAAGAGAAAAGCTGTATCTTCAAGATGACCTTAAAGCTCAAATGACATTTCCCCAAAATCTGATAGAACTTCAATGTGACTTCCAAAAAATCAAACCTTAGCAAGTTTCTTTTCAGAAATGCAATTTCTGAGGAATGGTATAACTCTTAACTTTTGTTGATGTCTTAGGAGGCACTATATGAAACTACCAATCAATGACAATACTATTAGAATACCACTGGTTATTTTTTCTCTTTTCTTTTGGAAAAATCCCCAAATCCATAATGCAACATGAAAAGGAAAATGGTGGGTTGGGAGCCACTAGTGGTTCACAGCCTGGACACCTCTTGAGATTCATCTACTGTAATAGCAGAGTCTAGAGTCTCGCAGATGCAAGCAATTTTATCCTCAAAATGCTTTGCAAACAAGCCACAGCGAGCTACTGTTGGTTCTGCCCCCTCCTTGGGCCAAACTGTTCAAGGCCTCACACTCCCAATAGAAGTTCTGCTGGGCAGCACAATGAGGATGCAATGGAGGCAGCAAAGTATGCCTTCATTGCCACTAGGTAGGCTTGATGATGAGCCCTCACCGTGTTCAATTGCATTTGACTAGAGTTTTCCTCTACTCATGTTCAACCTATCTCCCAGCTTGTTTCCTTAATCTAAGCTCTGGAATATACCAGAGAAGCAAGCAGGCTCCAAAAAGTGAGAGAGAGCACTCAGGGGCAATCATGTCAATGGCCTAAGCCGTTCCGATGTTCAGAAGTCATCCAGGGCTTTGACAGAAGCACCAAGCATGTCAGCCAGAAAATCCCCCAGAACCACCTGGAGACCCATTGGATCGATCAGCCTTCAAGGGTGCACCATCCTCATAGGTCCCTGCCTCTTCAGAGGAGATAGGGTGCTGAAAGCCCAAACCTCCACAGGAAGTGAGATGGTTATGACAAGGGACTGCTGTCAGCATCCCCTCTACAGTTCTCTATAGTTCTATGATTCTAACAAGTACCCCAGAATTGCAGAGTTGGAAGGGACCCCAAGGGTTATCTACTATAAGCCCCTGAAATGTTTTTGTTTAGAAATGCAGAATTCACAGCTAAATAATCCCTGGCAGTCGGCCATCCGACCTGCTTAAAAAGCTCCAATGAAGGTGTGTTTACCACCCTCCAAAGTAGTCCATGCTATTGTCAAATGTCTCTTACAGTGCAAACTGATTCAAATTTCTCCTTCATTCCTATTCTCCACTGCATCCCAGTTAAGATTACTCTGGAATAAATTATATGAACAGAGTACAGATGTTTAATGAAAAAAGCTGAAAGTGTATATAAATGGTTATTAATCTTTGTAAAGTTCTTGAGAGCAGGGAGGCTGGATGATTCAGGATACACGCCCAATGCTTATGCCAAAACCTAATGACATCTGTAATCAATAAAGCTGTAGCCTGTCTGATCCCAAAATGATTGTCCTGTAACGATTACATCATCCCGTCCTTTAGCCCTCGCCACCTACATGTGGGCTTGGCAATATTCCTTATTTAGCAAATATTCACACTGTCCCACTATCTTGTGATCAGCATAATGAGAAATAAAAGCACACTATAAATGAAAGCGATGCTTAGGATATCCTGTTATAGAGCAAGAGCATGGTGCAATAGAGTTGTAATTTTCGGGCAGATGACAGAACAAAGAAAGCCTAAAAAGGACCACCTCTCCCCATATGACCCAACCATCAACTGAGGGTATTCTTCATGTGCCCCCTTCCATGAGAATATACAAAAACACAACAGAACATCACACATTAAATGCTTCCTGATACAGGGCTGCTTTCAGATGTTTATGGAAGGTCGTACGATTATCCATCTCTTTGACATCTACAGGGAGAGCATTCCACAGGGCAGGCACCACTACCAAGAAGGCCCTCTGCCTGGTTCCCTGTAACTTCACTTCTCGCAATGAGGGAACCACCAAAAGGTCCTCAGAACTGGACCTCAGTGTCTGGGCTGAAGTATGGGGGCAAAGGGGCTCCTTCAGGTAGACCAACCATGCCAGAACCCAAGCCTGAACCCAAGCCCTCACAGACACAAAAAACCTATAACGAATTAAAAATGAACACACACACACCAGACCCAGACAATTGCTATAACTTGTAAAAATGCCCCCAGATGGGCATGTAGACCCCCCGAAAGAGGACATGTCCGGGATTTCCCAGATGTATGGCAACCCTAGGCTGTGTCACCTGTCTGAACAAAGGACTTAAATTCTAAAAGCAGCTCCCAGACCACCTCATAAAACCATTAGTTGAGGTTTTAATTTAATATAAAAAACACCCAGTCAATAGAGTTAATAGTGCATTATGCAAAAGTGCCACAGAACGAATCGACACTGGGTTGTGTCCAACTAAATTCTACTCAGAGTAGGCCCATTGGAATTAATGGATCTAATCAGTCATCTTCATTATTTTCAGTGGGGCTATTCTGAACAGGACTAATATTGATTGAACCTATTGTCCCATTACATTTATATTCTGCAGTTCAGGGATGGAGGACCATGGCTATGCTTGCTGGAGCTGATGGAGTTTTGAGTCACATGTCTGGAAGACATCCAGTTCCCCATCCATGCTCTGAATCAACCACTGAAGTGGATGAGTATGTTGAGGGGAAAACAGAAACCACCTATTGTTAGAACTAAAGAAAACATATATAATCTCAGTAACTTTTCTTCTTCCGCTTCCTTTGGGTTTTAAGCCAATATTTGAGAACAGGGCAAGTGAGCTCTTATTTCAGTTAGCAACATTCTTGTTTCAGTTTGTAAGAAAGGAAGTCTTAAGTACCCACCACCTCCTTTGCATGTCTGGAGTCTGAGGCAAGTCTGGTGATGAGATTTGGCTTCCCTTGGAGAACAATGAGCCCAGCAATTGTCACCTCTGGGCATTTCCTGGGGTAGGAGGTGCGTATACATGTCTTCAAGCTTGGTCTCCGTCATCGCCAACTGCCACTGATTGTTACAGAGGTTGTATTCACACAGCACTTTATTCCATTTCCCCATTTTCTTAACTATTGGAAGATTCAAGACACATAGAAGAAAGTACTTCTTCCATCCATTTGTGGAATGCTGTCCTCAGGGAGGTTTGCCTGTTGCCTTCATTATACATCCTTAGGTGCCAGGTGAAAACATTCCTTTTCAACCAGGCCTTTTGCTGATTAATATTCTACAGCAGTGGTTCCCAATTAGGGATTTGGGGCCCCCTGCAGGTCTGTGAAACCGACCCAGGGGGTCTGCAGCCCCATCCCTTGCCTCCACCCAACTAATTTTTTGTCACATTTGCATGGCAATATCACAAATTTTATGGTCTGTTTTAGCGCTGTGTGATTTTTCAATATGTTGGCCAAAATCGGTTTTGAAATAACACCACAATAACAATTTTGACCCACCAAGAAGAAGAAGAAGAAGAGTTTGGATTTGATATCCCACCTTTCACTCCCCTTCAGGAGTCTCAAAGCAGCTAACATTCTCCTTTCCCTTCCTCCTCCACAATAAACACTCTGTGAGGTGAGTGGGGCTGAGAGACTTCAAAGAAGTGTGACTGGAGTTTGGAGGAGTTTGGATTTGATATCCCGCATTTCACTCCCTTTAAGGACTGGCCCAAAGTCACCCAGCAGCTGCAGTGGAGGAGCGGAGACGCGAACCCAGTTCCCCAGATTATGAGACTACCGCTCTTAACCACTACACCACACTGGCTCCTCCTTTCTCCTCGCACGAGGGAAAGCAGGGCAGCTGATTTCAAGGCGCCGCCAATATTGCACGATGATCTCAGCTGATAAACACTGCTGATCTGAACTGCCTGTGAGTGACGTGGCACGGTGGCTCTGGCGCCCTGCAGTCATTCACAGTCACTCACAAGCCCCCTCCTGCTGGAGGGTGGCCAAGGGGAAAGTGGCAGGTGGCGCCAGCCAAATGCTTTTCAGGCAGCACAATGCCTGCAGGCACTCGAGCCACTGCGTTGCTCACAGGAGAGATGCCATGACTTGGGCGTGCTGCAGGCCCAGTGATGCTTGCGGGACCAGCGCGTGCCAGTTGCATCATTTTTGGCCACCCTCTAGTGGGAAGGACAGCAGCTCAGCATGCTAAGAGCCCAGCCCCAGACTGCACTGCTTTTGGGAGCAAAGCACCAGGCTCTAGGGCTCCTGGACTTGCACGTCACCTTGATCTCCATCATGCCGCCCCCAAGGTAAGTGTTGCCCTGCCCGCTAGCTACGTTAGTGCATAGAGTTATCAACATTTTCAAAAGTAGGGTGTCCATGTTAGCTGGAATGTGTTCAGAAGAGGGCAGTCAAGATGATCAAGGGTCTGGAAACTACGTAAGCCAAATGAGGAATGCTTGAAGGAGCTGGGTACATTTAGCCTGATAAAGAGGAGACTGAGAGGAGATATGATAGCCACCTTCAAATATCTTAAGGGCTGTCACATGGAGGAGAGAGCAAGCTTGTTTTCTCCTGCTCTGGAGGGTACGACTCGAACCAATGGCTTCAAATTTCAAGAAAGGAGATTCCTCCTAAACATTAGGAAGACATTTCTGATGATAAGAGCTGTTTGACAGTGGAACAGATTCCCACGAGAGATGGTGGACTCTCCTTTGGGGGGGGGTTAAGCAGAGGTTAGATGGCCATCTGTCATGGATGCTTTAGCTGAGATTCCGGCATTGCAGGGGGTTGGCCTAGATGACCCTTGGGTCCCTTCCAACTGTAACATTCTATAATTCTAACAGGTACTGCAGTGTGAAAGGAACATTAGAAAATGGAACAGAAGCACTGGCATTATACTGGAGAAACTAATACAGTGGTAGCTCGGGTTAAGAACTTAATTCGTTCCGGAGGTCCGTTCTTAACCTGAAACTGTTCTTAACCCGAAGCACCACTTTAGCTAATGGGGCCTCCTGCTGCTGCCGCACAGCCTGAGAACGATTTCTGTTCTAATCCTGAAGCAAAGTTCTTAACCCAAGGTACTATTTCTGGGTTAGCGGAGTCTGTAACCTGAAGTGTCTGTAACCCGAGGTACCACTGTACAGCATTCCCCACATCTATATGCAACCAAGAGTTCCCTGTCAAGTAAGCCTGCTTCTGATTTGCAGCTACCATTTGGTTGAAATTTGACAACTGTGAGAGATAATTACGTAATATATAAATCTGTGTGGACCAGGAAGCCACTCCTATTTGTTTAGCCGGGAATGTATCAGGCCTTGAGAGGATGACATAATTTCTGAAATTTCACAGATTACATTGCCAGCACTCTCGTGTATTCACAGCATTTGCAGACTCATGGCCAGGGATCCTTGCAAGGTACCTCCCCTTCCCTGTGTTTTGCTGACGCTTTCTTTCTGCCTCTGCCTGCTTGCTGTACACTTTATGTATCTGCTCACCAAGGGTGGGTCCTGTGCTGACTTCCAAAACTGGTTATGTTAGCATCTGACTGTAAGAGCTTTCTGAGTTGTTTGCTAAGCAAACAAAAACATGAAGTTCAATAGAATGTTGATTTCACAATAGATCAGTATACTGTTTTGCATATGGCATCTGGAAGCCTCCTTCACTTCTATGGCATGGGAAGTTTAAACTTGAAGGTTGTGCATTCTTGGTAGACCCTTATCTCTTCTGGTTTATCCCCCCTCTTCATACTTGTGCGCAGACAAAAGAGGATGATTCCAAGTTAATGGGGATAGCTGGGTTTTTCAATGGAGTTCACTATCTCAGCAGGAAATCCGTTCACACTATGGAGGAACAGGGCATTTCCTCTTGTGGCAGCCATCCTTTGAGGAATTCCCTCCCCTTGAATATTAGACAGCCTCTGCTGTCTTTTCAATGCCTAACTGAAGCCCTTCCTCTTCCAACAAGCCTTTTAAATTGAAAACTCCCACAGACAGAGTCTGTGCTGGAATTGTTTTGTTGGTTTTATCACACATTGTCTGCCACTCTGAGCATCTTTGAGAGGAAGGGAGGGATATAAATTTCAATAAAGAAATAAATAAAATGTTATCCTTATCATTAAAGTTTAAGTTTGTTACACACCTTCAGCATAAGGCCCCAGGGTGGGCCCTAGTAATCTTAAAATATCCTATAAAAAGGAGTACAAAACAAACTGGAGTCAGGCTATATACGCTATATGAATATAGCCAAAGGCCAGGGTAATGAAATGTTTTTTCAGCATATATGGAGCAATTGGTTTGTTCAAAGCACACTACATGTATTAGCAGTCCTTACACTGTTCCTGTAAGGTTCATCCTGTGCTTTTTTCCCTAATAAATAAATAAATGTTTAGAGGTACTCTCATTTTCCTACTCATATTGAAATAATGCCCCTCAGTGAGGCCAAACATAGATTCACAAAATGTTTAGGGGTATGTGTACCCCTGCATTCCCCCCCCCCCTCAGAAAAAAGCACTGGGTTCACAAATACTATTATCA